ATGCCTACTGTCTTTTTCCCAATTTTTATTGCATCATTTTGTATATTTTTATTTCTTCGATTGAATTAATCTCCCCCTCTTGGCCAGTTCTCCTTCCCACTAGAAATCAAGTGGCGGGATAAACTCAGATCTACTACCTACTTCCGGCCATGATCCTCTACCTTCCTTCTCCTTTCTTTTCAAATTTTATTTGTTTGTTATACATGTAAATGTGCATATATATATATATTATTTATTATTAATTGCATTACTGTTGATCTACCAATCTCCATGACTGAAAAATAGTCAGTCTTCCTCCTTCGGCAGAATTAATCAACAGGCTCAAGATTCCTCACCTTAGTCAATGGAAACAAACCCGAAAAATCCTATAATCAGGCATACCCGTTCAATAATTCGAAGTGAATATGAAGCTAAGATTGATCAGATTACACCCAAAACTTACCAGATGAAGTAAATCTCAAGCCTAGATAGATTTCTAACACATTAGATACTATGACTGTTGTACAAAAAAAAATAAACAACTTATATATGGATGCATGTGAAAATTTGTAATCCAATGGCTTCCCTGTTCAACAAGATTTAATGCCTAGCTAACGATAACATAAAAAGAAAGATGCAAGAAGATTAAGAATCACATTATCAACAACATTAACTAAGAAAACGATAGTAGAAAATGTATGGAAACAGTCAGCTCCCTCCCTAAAACACTAAATAGGTAGATGACTAACGTATAAGAAGGGAGGCTACGATGAAACTGGGTTGGTTTCAAAGATTTCGTAGAGACCAATTTGGCAAAGGCCTCAGTACCAGCTTCACCATCCTCCGTAGCAAAAGAGAAGATAGAAATTGAAATAAGGAAAAGAAGAAAATAAAAAAAAAAATGGAGGAAGGATATGTAAACGGAATGTACTTTATTGAGTATCGATCAAAGTTCGATGTTGCAATGGAAAGGGGGTATACGTCCAGATCGTCGGTTTTGCCAAAAATTGTTCGAATATCAGCGGGGAAATGAAGCTGTAGTTGTGGTCTATGCTCAGAATCACGAACAGAGACTCAACACATTGTCGTTAACGCCTTCTGAATCATTTTGCTGCTTGAAACGAGCAGCTTCGGATGGAAAAGAAAACAAACAATCGATCTCGGGTGATTGATTTTGGGGGATTGGACGAAGAAGAAGAAAGGGAAGGAGAAGAAGAAACAAACAATCGCAAAAAGGGTTGCCGCTGCTCTGCCTTCTTATAGAGGTAGACACTGAATAGTAAGTTCTTCTCCCTTCTCAGGTTCGGTGGTGATAGAAGAGCAACATCGAAGAAGAAGAAGAAGAGGAGGAAGGAGAGAGAGAGAGAGAAAAGCGAGAGAGGGAGAGTGGTCAGCTGTTATTCGGAGTTTCGAGAGCTTGGTGAAGATGAACAGTAACCTTTGAAAATTCCACCCGAAGTGTGAATTGGCAAGTTAGGTTGGGTTTTATATTAGGGCATGTGGTAGTTTTGTAATTTTGCGGGTTTGAATGGGTAATTTAGTAATTTAGTCAAACTAGGGATAACTTTGGTCTAACCAAGTCTAAGGGGTTAAATCGCGATTCATGGGTGGATGGATAAGATTTTTGGGCCAAAATGTGAGCGGTTGAGATGGGTTTGATTGTTGAGAAGGGTTGTGTGTGGGTTCGTGAGATTGACCAAAATGGAATCTTTCTCAATGAGTGGATAAATTGGGGTAGTTTTGATTGAAATTTTACAGGGTAGGATCTTTGAACTTTCTGAGTTGATTGGCCTAACTAAGCCTGGATCAGGATGATCTGGAGTAGTAGTGGTTTGATCAATTTGGGACTTTAAACAGAATCTTGGTGTGATGAAGGGGCAAACAAAGGTAGTTTTGGGTGAACTTTCATAGGGTAGGTTCTTTGGGTAGTCTAAGGTGATTTGCAAGGTTAGATTGGGCTAATTAGGCCGGATTGAGTGGATTTGGAATCTTGTCAATCGGGGGCCTCAAAGTAGAATCTAGGTGCAATAATGGGGCAAACAAAGGTGTTTTAGATTGAAATTTCACAGGTGGGTATCTTAAAGTGTCAGGAATCTGGTGATAATTTTTTATCAGTTTGGGGTGGTCACGATCATGGGACTTTGGGTTAACAATATGCTTTAAAATGGAATCTTGTTTTAAAGGAGGGGTAAACGAGGGAATCTTGCATTGAAACTTTATAGGCAAGTGTTTTAGTATGTTTGGAGTTTAATGGTGTGGTCTAATTGGTTCGGATGTATTTGAATTAAGGGGATTTGGGTTGTGGGTGTTTTAGGTTAACGAGTGGCTTAAAATGGAATCTTGACTAATGAAAGTGTAAACAGAGGAATCTTGACTAATGTTTAGGGTCTAATGGTAGTGCCTGATCTAAGGGTCAAAGTGTAGATGAGGTTTGATCGTGGCCACTGGATCAGTATTGGGTAAATTTAACGATGGGTTTGAGTCATTCTTTCTTCCCCCAAAACCAGAATACATAAATACCTCCTATATATCTGTTTATAACTGTTTGAGGGGTATTTCTGTAACCCCCCCAAAAAAAGTTGAAATTGGCTGCTGGGGACCCCCCAATGGCTAGTTCATCGGACGGGCCTGACACGGCCTGCGTGCCGTCATGCCGTGCCATGTTGTGTACCATTGTGCCGTGCCATACCTGGCTGGGCTGCAAGTGGTACGACTTGATTTACACCTATATCTTTCCCTTATATTTTTTAATTTATAATCAAAATTATAGAAAATTCACACGTACACATATATTAACTTCCAGGCTGGGTCGAGACAGTTAACCCCAAGCTTGGCTTTGAAGAAAAACTATTTCCTGACACAAAAATTTCTAGGATGAGAAATGATCAACTCTACTCCAGCTATCTGACATATGGCTGTCTTGGGAGAGGAACCTTGGATCAAGGTTTTTAAAACTAGACAGGACAAGACAAGGAGCTGTTCTGGGGTTTGGTTCTTGGGTTGAATGGTCTGACTGTTTGGACCGAAAGGATGTCTTGGGTCAGCAGTTCGTTGGCAAAATCAATGTTTTGTTTAGCCAAAAAGTGGTTTTATAGTTAAATGGAACCGATCGAGTGACAGGTTCTCCATTATTCGGTCTGACCGTTCGATCTGGTCTGTTATTGAAAACATTGCCCTGGATAGAGACCAACCAGTGGCATTCTTTTGGTACAAAGTGGCAAGCCAATCAACTCTTATGGTTGATCATGCCAGTGCAATTCCTATATATGTTAGAGAGGGTGGAGTTAGATGCACTTGTTGAAGTGTAACAAGGAAGGAGAACAATAATGTGTAGTGGTGGGCTATGTGGACCTGGTTTTAGAGACAAGAGAGAGAGCAAGGTTGGGTGTTAGGGGTTGGAAGTTGTTCGGAGGGAATGAGGTCTATGGCAAGTTTAGTAGCTACACCGGGGTCTGTGTCAAAGCTTCAAAGTCATTTGGAAGGAATGACGTCTTCATGGGACATGAAGCTTGCATAAGAGAAGCATTGCAAAAATTTGAGTTAGCGTCAAGGAAAGAAAGGGAGGGGGAGAGGAAAGAGAGAGATGAAGAGGATAATAAAAAAAGTAATATCTCTCTCGGAGAGGTGGACGGAGAGTTCAAGTTTGGAGCTCTCTTGAGCGGTAGGAAATTAAGAAGGTTAATAGACTTTTATGCATATGTCTCAATAAAGGCAGACTTAAAAGCAAAGAAAGCAAAAGGGATAAGACGTAGAGGAAGGGGTGAGAGAGGCCATGTGTGGAGTTAGTTTTCTTACATGGTTAGGGATTGGAGTTAGTTTTCTTAGAGTTTGTGTTGTTGGTGGGTTGAGGTTTATATATATATATATATATATATATATATTTTCAATTCATCAGAGGACAAATTTCTTTTGCACTATAGTAAATGTATGGGATTGCAAATAGATCGAGTGTAAATTTTGGTTTACTTTTGCTTATGATTTAATTGCCATTTGTCTGTGAGACATATAATAGGTTAGGTAGAAAATTGATATGGTTCCCACCTTCTATCGAAAAATAGGGTAAGATCAAAGAGGATTCTTTGTTTAGGTTGAGTTTGGTTGCAACGCAAACGCAAATATGTACATTGCATATTTACCCTTTTTTCAGTTCATTAATGCAAACATGGTTCACATTTTAAACCGTTTCTGCACTCATCTTGTTTGTTTGAAATCAATACAAATTGGGGCACACCATTAAATGCTCGAACTATATTATGCCCCAATGACCTGACTTTGCTCAAAAAGTTAATTATCAAAGAACACAAAATTGTGTCCAAAAAATAGTTATAGTAACGCTCTCTTCTTAAAGTACAAGAGTGTTAGGAAATACATTTTTGATCTGACAATTATTACTTTTTTACATATCAGACAAACACGAACCAAGGTACATAAATACCTCGGTTCAATGTTTGTATCGCAAAGAAGTAGAGCCTTATGAGTGAAATAAAAAGCAAGGTGGTTAGGTCCCCACTTTTTATGAGAAAGAATTGAGACAAGGGGAAAGTAATACCAATTTTGCATCAGTTTTTGGATGCAAAATTTGTACTTTTAGGGAACAAAAAAATGACAAAAAGTACTCCGGGATTTGCTAACCATAAATTGTTCCCACATCCATACCCACAGAACACCACCGCTGTGTATTGGTAACAACTCATGGGTTATAGATCTGAGCCCAAAAAAGTACAGATTTTATGTCAGATAGGACTGCAAACCATAGTTCCATATAAATGCAAAACTAAATCGGGGGTGCAAAATTTATATTCATTCAGACTTTCTTTCTTATTTTTTTATAATGCTATTACTTTCTTTGCTCAGTTTTTTTTTTTTTAACATCTAACTCTCCAAATTATAATCGTGTAAGTGAAATAAGCATCCAATGTAAATTGACATGACAAGATATAAAAGTTAAGATTCACTGATCAATATTTGTTACAAAACTCAAGAATTAGATTGTACATAAAAAAAAAAGAAAAAACACTAGATCAGTTATTTAAAGAGAAGAGGCTATTGGCATGGGGACCGTAGAAGGCATTAAAACGATGCCGTTTCTTTCTGTACTTAACCACCCTCCATTGTCCAACTTTCAAATCGTAGACGCAGAAGTAGTGTTTTCCACTTCTACGGAAAACAATAACTTCACCGTTCTTCACGGTGGTGATAACATGATACAAATGCTGTCGTACCTCCCAAGGCATGTTGATAATGTATTCTTTAACCCAATCTCCTGTTTGAAAATCCTTCAAAACCCATACGTTTATATGTCCATAAGGATCTCGATCAAGAAATGATAGAAACCCTCCTTTCTCTATTAGTTGCACTTGTGTGTACAAATGCCGATGGGGGAGTTTCACCACACGGAATTTTTCTTCCATAAGATCCATAGAAATAATATACTGGGTTGAATTAACATTCCAGTGTATAATCCCTCTGACTATGGCTCTTTCTCCACTAAAGAATTTATTGATTCGGTTATCTGTGATTGAGTCGACTAATCGCCATGAATCACTACCACCACATGTGAATATCTCACACTGGAAAGTGAAACTATTGTAATCTGGAATCAGGTGTACCACCTTATACTCCTGTGTACAAGGAACATACACCAAGTCGAACCTGCCACCAGTAAGTGCAGTACTGAAAGGAGGAAAGCTTATCCAGTTACTTGTAGCAGGATTAACTACATAAAGGTTGTGAGGATTCAACCCATCTTGTAACAAAAGCAAACCATTAGAGTAGCTTTTAAGGTTGGGCATCTCACATGATCTGAAAGATCTAAATTTGATGAGTCGGACTATCATCTTGCATTCTCTAATCTCCATAAAACGCATTGCAATCCAACCGAGCTTGAAACATATTGGCCCTAGAGTAATCAAACCCTGTTCAGCGTTGGAGTAATGAGCCTTGATGAAACGAGGGTTGGAGATTAATTCAGTCCACTTCCTACAGACAAGTCTGAAGTTGTTATGAAGAAAATCTGCTGGAACTCTAGTCAGTATCTCTTCAAAGACGATATCATCGCATAAATATGGGATGTCCATCTCCAGATCCTATTATATTAATTCCTGCACTTCCCCACATTAGTTTGTCTTGAAAAAAGAAATTGATGATTGAACTGACAACAAACAAGTGTTAAAGAATGAAAGAATTTTTAACAATGAAAAAGAAGAAGACAACAGATGCTGGTAGTCTATGATAGATCACAGATGAGACCAATAAATAAATAAACATTTTAAATCCCAGTCTGATTAGGAATGTGGTTGATAGAGAGCAAAGTTAGTGATCAGTTTGAAGACTAATTAAACTAAACAACTTGGCATGCAAGAGAACGTTGGAAAACACATAAAAAGACAATGAATTTGTTTTTGTGTTGGTAATATTCATGAGAAATTTAAGAAGGCTGTGTGTGAAAAGCTACAAGATGGATTGATGTGTCCTAATTTTGTAGGGAGTAATAACTAATTAATTTGGTCAAAAGCTAAGTACTGAACTGTGACATGAATTTTTGAAAGATGTGTTAGGAAATGATAATATACCTTAAATTATTGGATTTATGAGAGGAAATTGAATGCACTCAGTAATAGTATTCAAATTACATTTTATTCACTCACAGTGACGAGGTATCATATTTCAAAATCGGGATATTTTAGTTAAGAAAAATTTTAGAAATTTCAGAGGTTATTCGTACTTTTATATATATTTCAACACAGGTTTCCTATGGCATCTAAACATCAACCCAATTGAATTTATAAGACAAACACTGTGAGACAATGGTCAACGAACAGAATAAACTTTGCATATTATTCTAAACAGCAATTCCATAAGCAAACGAACTAAAGCTTATTATAATTCCATTCAAGCTGAACTTGAGAAATCTCACGAATTAAATGATAGCGTTAACAGAGTAAACGATTATAAATAAATGGCAATGTATAATGGGTAAAAGAATATGCAGTAAATGACTAATAAGAGAAAAGAAAAACTTCTACAGCACCGTGTGACGTAATTCTGCAAGTTTGGATTAATTTTAAGAATTTCATGTACACCAGCTCGGCAAAATCCTCATCGCTGGTTCCGGAAACCATCCATACACCGATTATTTCATAGCAAGACGAGAGAGAAAAAAAATCAATAAAAGACAGAGATATATCATAGTGGAAGAAACTCATTGAATTGGATTTAGCCTGAGATTGAGTACTGCAACGGTAATCCAAAGTCTGTGGTTTCCAACTTTCTTCGAGATAGTTGACGACTGACAAACGGTTGGACTTCGGCTTAGGCTCGATCGACGGAACAGGGGAATTGAAGGCTACACAAATCGGTTATGAGTGGAGTGGGAAAATATAAGCTTTAAGCTTAGTGGTTTCCAACTTTCATAAAAATATTTGTGGAAATTATAAATTAATAAAAAAAATTTAAAACATAATTTTTTTTTATCCATAAAGACTAAATATGTTTTATATCTATAGCTTTATCTTTCATATCCATAGAAGAATTGAAAATTTTTCTTAATTAATTATTTTTTATTTTCTATTTTGAGAATTAAAAAATAAATAATTAATTAATTATATTTTATCGTTTGATCACAATGATTGAATATATTATAATTCTATGAAAGATCTATCATATCCACAAAGCAATTGAAATTTTTTCTTTAATAAATATTTTTGAATATATTATATAGTATTTATTTAATTTTGATAATTTTTAGAATTGAATAATAAATAATTATTAATTATATTTTTTGACTTAGAAGTTGTGCCAATGAGTGTTTTATGGTTGGATAGGAGAATTGGGTTTTCTCCATCCCATAATACATTAAATCCTAAATTGTAGTTAAGCATAGGATTTTTAATGAAATTATAATTAACTACTATATATTCGTTCATAAAACCATTATAATATACTAATTTAATGTATATACACTTCATTGTGGTCTTATATTTAGTCTTATTGATGTATTTTTGTGATTTGTTAAAATATTTATAGTGTTTCCAAGCATATCTTAATTTTTTTCGGATATGCTTGGAAACGTTCAAAACAAAGAAATCTCACGAACTAAAGCTCAAAACAAAGAAATCTCACGAATTTGTTAAAGTATCTAAACAGCAATTCCATAAACAAATAACGAAACGTTCAAAACAAAGAAAAGAAAGCTCACGAACTAAAGCTTATTACAATTCCATTCAAGCTGAACTTAAGAAATCTCACGAATAGATGATAGCGTTAACAGAGTAAACGATTATAAATAAATCGCAATGTATAATGAGTAAAAGAATATGTGAGTAAATGACTAATAAGAGACAAGAAAAACTTCTACAGAACCGTGTGATGTAATTCTGCTAAGTCTGGATTAATTTTAAGAATTTCATATACACCAGCTCGGTAAAAACCTCATCACCAGTTCCGGAAACCATCCAAACACCGATTATTTCATAGCAAGACGAGAGAGAAAAGAAAAGGAAAGAAAAAAAAAACAATAAAAATCAGAGATAGATCATAGTGGAAGAAACTCACCGAATTGAATTTAGCCTGAGATTGAGTACTGCAACCGTAATCCAAAGTCTGTCGTTTCTAACTTCCTTCTTCGAGCTAGTTGACGACTGACAAACGGTTGGACTTCGGGCTTTCAAATTAGAAAGGTTTTTTTTTTCTTTTATAAGCTTTGGTGCAGTAGGGGTAGGCATTTCCAATTCGAAGTCGATTAGAAATTCTAATATCCCAATTCGAATCGGATTAGAAATTCTGGTATTTGAATTTGATTCGTTATCTAATGGTTAATATTCAAATTGGAATCCGATTAAGTATTTGAATATTTAACCCGATTCTAATTTGATTAATTAATTATTTTAAATAATTAATAAATATAGAAAATAAATATTTTATTGATATAAAATATATAAATTATTTTATATATTATATATAAGAATTAAATAATCGGCTGAATTCGGATATTTATCGAATCGAATCAAATCATATCCGAATTTGAATCCGATTAGCTATTCAGATAGAACAGGATACTCAAATTTGATCGGTTAGATATTCGAATTATTTGAATTTGATTCAATTATGTCGAATATCAAATTCAAAATCGGATTTTTGAATACCATTGACACCCCTAGGGTGCAGTGGCAGTTTTGTATATATTTGGAAGTTTGGGGGTACTTTGGTGATTTTGAGGCATTTAGGTCAAATTGGGTATAGGAGGGTCAAAGCCGGTCTTTTAGTTCAATGGTGGGGATTTTTGGCAAACAAAATGGAGGTTTAAGATGGGTTTGACTATAGAGTGAGGTTATGTTAGTGTGGGTTAATAAGTGAGTATTTTTTTTTTTTTTTGTTTATTGAAATTTGGTAGGGTGGGGTTTTTGGACAAGCTGAGTTGATTGGTAGGATTGGATTGGTTGAAATGGGCCCGGATTGGGCAGATTTGGTAAGGGCTCAATTTGGTTAATCTCGAGTCTCGAAACATAATCTTTGTGTGATTGAGGGGAAAACAAGGTCTATTTTGGATGAAAATTCACAAGGTGGGGTTTTTGGGTAGTCTGAGGTGATTGGTGAGGTTAGATTGAGCCAAATGGGGCCTTGGACCGGACAGACTTGGAATCCGGTCAATCTAGAGCATCGAAACAGAATCTAGGTGTGATGGATGGGTAGACGAAGATGTTTTGGGCTAAAATTTCATAGGTGGGTGTTTGGGGTGTCCGGGATTTGATTATGAGATTTGATCAGTCTTAGAGGGGCAAGATTCATAGGAATTTGGGTCAATAAGATGTTTTGGAACGAAATCTTGGTTTGATAGAAGAGCAAGTGGAAGAAACTAGGGGTGAAATTTTATGAGCAGGTGTTGTGGTTTGTCCGGAATCTAAAGGTATGGTCTGATCGGTTAGGATGTGTCAAGACCAAGGTAATTTGAGTTTTGAGTGTTTAGGTTAACGAGATCGGCCAAAATGGAATCTTTGCTTGATGAAAGGGTAAATGGAGGAATCTTGAACTGAAATTTTATGGGTAGGTGTTTTGGGAGGTCCTTGGTCAGATGGCTGTGTCTGATCTAATGGTTGGGGTGTAAGTGGAGGCTGATCGGGGCCATTAGATCGATATCAATGAGGTTTAATGGTGGATTTGGGGGGCTTTTGAGTTGAAAGTTGAGATTTTGGGGTTTTTGAGCGCTTCGGAGAGATCAAGAGTGTTTGATTGGGAATTTAGGGTAATTTTGAGGTTAAAGCGGCAGACCGAGCAAAAATCTAGGGGTGCTCACGGTTCGGTTAACCGAACTGTGGGGTATTTTTTCAAACCGAACCGATCTGATCGGTTTTTTAAATATCTAAACCGATGCAACCGGTTTTTTGGTTTTTTATGCACTTACAATAAAAATTTTAAACTATCAGTGCTAGACTAGTTGGTGCTGGTGGTTGTTGTTGGTGCTAGACTACATGGTGCCACTTTCGCCTGAAGTGAGAGCTTGAGAGGTTGCGCTGGGTGGAGATGCAAAGAGGAAAGATGAAAGAGAGAAGAGATCAGATGGCGTTGGACCGTTGATGCTTACTTGTTGGTGAGGCGGCAACCGGCATTGCCACTTGGTGCTGTCATGTCGGTGGTTGGCGCGGGTTGTGCTACCATCTGGAGCGGGTTGTGCTACCATCTGGAGCGGGTTGTGCTACCATCTGGAGCGGGTACTGGAAGAAGAAGATAGTAGAGTGGCAGTCTGGTAGTCTGGCAGACTGTCGAACTTTTAATTGAGAGGTTAAAATTTCAAAGAGAAGTTTAAAATTCTTTATCGAATTTTTTATTTGATTTTCAAGAAAAAAAATATAGTATATATATAATATTATATAAATATATATTATTGTATATATATATTGGTTGGTTCGGTTAACTACCGATTTTTTTAAATGGTTAACTGAAACCAAACCGAAACTATTGGTTTTTTAAGAATATCGAACTGAAACCGAACTGACCGAACTGAAACCAAACTTGACCCATGGCCAATCGAACCCAGCCCAATTGAAGGCAGCAGGTTGGGCTTAGGCTGAGGACTTAGGTA